ATATGTGAGGGCTGGAAGGGAGGGAAGAGGGAAATGATGTAATTATAATTTAAAGAAACATTGACAAAAGAAGGAAAATATGCTAATTATATGCTTATATTGACTTTATATTGAAATGGTATTTCAGCTATGTGGGATTAAAGACCTCATCAAGTTAGGATTTAAAAAGACTAGCTTAGCTGAAGGGGGGGCCATGCTCTACGGTGCACATATGGCCAGGATGACGTCATGGACTCGCTTTCTCCAGTGTCATGCTCACAAGTCTGGCTGTTTCCTCCTCCAGCTCCTGCAGAACCCGTTCTCTTTCCATCACAGCGTAGTTTTCCTTCTCCCAGTCCTCATCTTCGGCAGGGTCTCTAGTCTGGGTGATCTCACTCTCCAGCCTGGATGACGCAAGGGGAAACCGGAAGGAATCGTGATGGACAGGTTCAGAAGGGGTAAAATTTGGGGTTGACGACTACATGGGCATCTCAGGTTGGAAACACTTCTCTCCCAGGTCCACAGATTCAGGCCATTTCCAAGTCATAAAAAAAAGAACAACCTTTTACCAGGCCAAACACTCCAGTGTTCAACTCAAGGAAAGCTCTGCCTAGTTTTTTAAGTAAGTGCATTTTTAAGCTTGCTGTGTCTAAATGCCCTAGCCAGGGGGAACCGTCACGGAGTGAAGGATGGTTGTTTGCTACATGGGATAGAGTTCTCTACAGAAAGTAGAGAAGTTGAGGATTTTTTTCCTCCTCCTGTCGCCACCCCCCTTCTTTCAGGTTGAGAACTTCCATCCTGAAACTTTAGACTCACCTCTGGATTTCATTTTCTTTTTCTTGTATTTTGAGAAGAAGTTCCTGGTTGGCCTCATCAATTCTCTGCATATCCCTTTCAAGGTCCATGTTCAAACTGATAATGTTCTTCTTGGATTGGGCCAATCTTAAGATTTCCATCTTTTCTGACCTATAGGCACAGCCCCCCAAATGAACAAGGGTTGGTTGTCTCAAGAGCAAAAACCCACCAGGTTAGGTAGGCTCTCTAGAAGATAGGTAATTCATCCGCTGTGAACATGCATACTTCTTAATCACACCCTAAACTGTCTCAGTAATTCTCAACCCAGCGAGGGCCATCTTGAGATGCACCTCCATTCTGATTTCAAGAGAAGCTTCACTTCCTTAAATAGCCCCGTGCTGAAGAGAATGAGGTTTCCCATGGCAACCTTTTCCTAAATTGTTCTCGAAACATGCTTATGCAATACACTTTTATTGACTATTTTTATCTAGGCACCTGCTGCATCACTTCTGAGTGAGTCTGCTTTATTCAGAGATAGAAGTTTCTACTACCATACTAGGGCTTCTCTCCTTCCACCCATGGTTCCCCTTCTCTTTGATTTCGGATTATAATGTTTGAGATTCTCATACGAGGGCCATTTCAGTGACTACATACTTATATTCCAGGAATGTCATTCAAGAGCACAGATGTCTGTTTTGAAAATAACAACTGAATGAAATGATAACTTTAGGAAGAGTACCGAAGTCAAGGGAGGCTCACACTGAACTTTTACTAGCCTGGGAAAGATTTCATTGACTTGTCTTTGGAGTTCTTAATTGGGAATAGGGTAGTATGGCCCAAGGATTTTGTTTTGAGAGACATGAAGCACGACATTGGAAAATATCATGGCTCAGGTGGGGAATTTATAGTGGTGACCACTCCTACAGGGAGTGGAATGCTTGGGAGATGGGTTGAGGGGGGAGGAGGGAGAGGCGGCTGGAAGATTAGAGAAGGTATGGCCAGCGACCTGCCTCACACCTGATGCCTGGATGCAGCCTTTGTAGTCTCTGTTACTTACTCATAATCTAGCTGATTTTCCTTCTGTTCTTCCATTGTAGACGCCTGAAATATTAGCAGAGATGTGGTTATGGACTGCAGAAATGGGCCCATCAATCTCCCAAATAGAAAGTCAGTGAACTGGTTCTCTCCCTTCAGAGCCCCTTGGCTGGATATGACAAAACCCTCAGCTTTTTCTGCTCCTCCTCTGACTCTGCATCAGGAAGTGAGTGTGCAGAGAGCCACTGGAAAATTCCATAAGCTGTCTCGCAAGCAAACACACCTAGAGGCTGTTTGCCATAATAATGCGAGTTGGAAACCTAGACAAAATACTAGGAAGAAACAGAGGTACTAAGTTTTTCTCAAGTCGTCTTTCTTTCTGACCTGCAGCTTTCTTAAAGGTCTTAGGGTACAGATGTAGGGACATCGCTGCCCTGGAAAGTTATGGGCTGTTCTCTAGTTCTCTAGCCCCTGGTCACTGCAAACTGGGTGGGAAGTGTGTCAATGCCGATCAGGGATGAGAAAAGGAAGGGGAAGGCAACTCCCTCTCTGCCCTCTAGCTGCTTCCCCAAACTTTACCTCCCTTCTATTGATGTGCTGTGGCTTCCTAATCCTGCCCTAGTCAATTAGCTTCTGGAAGACTCTCATCTCTTTCCAGTGGAACCAGAATTTCACAACCTTCCATGGGGTTTATGACTCCACAATTGACATAGGATGGTCAGGGTGCCATGTCACAGTGGTGCTGATAACAGCCTCTTGTTAATCTTTAAGAAGTCAGAACCTCTATAGATGTGTGGGCTCTGTGGCTAAGTCTGCCCTAAGCAGGGACAATCTTCAGGGAATCATCTTTCTAGAAAGTATGAGGGGGACAGCCTTTCTAATCATGTCTCTCTGATAAGTAGGGCTTGCTTCCTCCCCAAGTGGGAAGAAGATGGGAAATTTGATCTTGTGGCCACAGTGATGCTGTCATATGACCAACTGATGACCCATTTGTCCTATGGGTATTGAAGAGTAAAAGTGCCAGTGTCTTCAGGAGGGAATGGGACAATTCAAAGCACAAAGTTGACATGCTGAGATGTGTGTGTGTGTGTGTGTGTGTGTGTGTGTGTGTGTGTGTGTAGGGGGGTTACATTGATTTTATTTCATATGAAAAGAGAATGGGAATGTTATGCCTAAATCCATGGGTCCCCACAAAAGCCAACGAAGGAGACCGAGTCCCATATGTAAAAGCAAAGGGCCTTTATTTTAATTAAGCTTGCAAACTCGTCTCTCTGCATGTCCAATGTATTGGAATATTTGGAGAACCCTGAGCTCAATTAGAATTGGGGTTTTATAATAGTAAAGGTGGGGGTAAGGGGGCTCTAAGGTTCAGGACCCCTGACTGGCTGACATTTGTCTAGGGGTGTTCTGGTGAGGTGTGCTGGCAGGTGATCCTATCTACAGTGGTTGGAATGTCAGGCATTTCCTTTGGATGGTCTGCTCTTGGGTGGGAGTCGGGTAATCTCAGCTTGTGGTGTTTTCCTGCTACCAGGTATTGCTTCAGAGTAAACTACGGAGACTCAGGCCTCTTATTAAAATTTATTGATGGCCGGAGTCCCAGGTGATACTGGTTGGAAGGAAAGAACTTCCTTTGGATGACCTGCCCAGACTTAGATTATCATGGCTGGCCCCCCACAAGCCCCCACAGGGAAAACATGAGCAGGTGAAGGGGATGAGGGAAGGCATCCAGTGTGTGGCAAAGGGAGAATACCACAGTTTTAAAGTGGGTGGTGCAGAGAGAGCCATGGAGTCTCCTCATGTTTGAAAGCAGTGTGTTGGTGTGTGAAGAGGTTTGATGGATAGGAGGAGAACCTGGGGTGTGCTGAGGTAACTGCAGAGTCCAGTAGGTCTAGCAATACCAGCAAGGGACACCAAGGCCCAGTTTTGCCTGCAGAGGCTCATTGGTCCATGCAGGCTTGCTACTGTGAGAGTTTCAGAGATTAAGAGCCCCAGCCATAAAACAGAAATTACAAGAGATTTTAACATTCGTTGACAATGGCTGTGATTGTCTTGGATTAGCCCCACAATGTCTTCTTTTGCAAGCTTTAAAAGAAAAATCATTCACAGAAAATAAAAAAATACTCATTCTCTATACCAGAACACATGTGTGTATGTGTGTGCGTGTGTGTGCATGTGTGCATGCGCGTGCACGTCAGTTCTTACTGGGTGAGACCAGACAAACTGAGGCCGAAAAAGATTCCATTTTTGTTCTGGGATCCTTTGGGACTTCGAACTTCACCCCAACCACTGAGAAAAGCCAGGAGCCGTGAGGGGAAGTATTAGTTAATGGAAAATCCCTAGATACACAAAACTCCTGACCGCCACCCATATCCCCACCTGTGGTTACACAAAAGATGTTGACCACCTAACTTCCCTTGTCGATTGAGTAACAATGGACCAATCAGATAAGTTTCCAGACAGACCCTGTGGTTAGCAAAGGGCCAGCAGATGTCCCGAGGAAGTGACCAGGGGACAGTTACTATGGGAGAGAACAAACCCCCTTAGGCAAGGACAGCCTATCAGAGAATAACAGCTAAACTTTACCTAACCTTTGGCCAATTGTGATACAGACAAGCAACTTTATACTTTGAAACTGTAATCTTGGGACTGACTGCTTTGTGGCTTTTGTCTTTAAAAATCCCTTACCATAGTAGACAGGGGTCCTCCTCCCTCCATCTGCCACGTCAGACTGTGAGGAAGAGGACCTGTGTTAGCCAATATATAATAAACGAGACCTTGCTTTTGCATTCACAAGAGTGTGGCTCCGTGGTGGTCTTCTTGGGGGTCTCAGGACTTAGGCACAGCCACAGCTGATAACTTCCAGGGTGACAGCCACAGAAACCTGTCAGGTTTCAGGTCTCTCCTCGGAGGAGACCACCTTGAGGTGATTTGTGAACCAGGCCGACTTCTTAACATACTGAAGTTTCTAGCAAAACTATTTGTAAAATTAATAGCCTCTGAGGACCCCCATTACCATCTCCCGAAAGAAGGCTTCTCGTTGCTTTATGAAGCTGTACACAGAAGAGTAATTAGGTAACAGTTCAGGCCAATGGCCTCTCCCAGGAATTGATGGTCGCGAGAGTTCATTAACCCCAGCTGGCTGTAGCTTCACCAGGAGATGCCCGGGACCAAGGTTATTGCAGCTGGTAATGGAGTGGACAGGGACTTTAACTGGGATAAAAATAAAGCCGTGTCTCCTGCCAGGGGAGCCTTTCTCCTTGAGGGGCTACTTCAGCTAGTTGATGGAGCCGCAGGACCCGCGCTTGGGACCCTGCACGGGAGAGGACAGCAGATTGCTACCAATGAGAATCGTTAAATCAAGGTGGAAACAGGGCCTTGGGGGCAAGTTAAGGTGTTTGATCCAAGCCTCTTCCTGCAGATCACAGATGGCTTGATTAACACCCAGCGCAGCGTTCGTTCGGAGCAGCTGTTCTCCGTGGTCAAGTTTCTATGCCCTCCCTCTCCAGTGGGAAGAACGGCCGAGATTCATTTCTCGGCTACTCCCTGCTGTCAGAACTGCCTCTGCCTTTGTGAGTAACTGTTGGGAAACGCTTGCCCTGATTGCAGGCTGGAGCCCCCGCTGGATTTGCTGGGCCTCTGCCCGCTTGCTGTGGGGGCTGGCCAGGTACGCGCACCTGGGCCCTCGGTGGAAGCTGCGGGGCGCCTCCAGCTGCCTGGTGAGGCCGGCGGGGAATGGTAAAGCTACTTTGTCTGCTCGCCTTGCTTGTCCTTTCTTTGAAGGTCGCTACTTGCGTGCTGGATGCTCTTATGAGTAAGGCTGGCTTGGAAGCTCATTGCTGGGGGAGGGGCGAGGGCATCATTTTAGAAACCGGTTCCTCAAATACATTGTAACCCTTGGGTGTTTTTGTATTTGTAGTTACAATTATCACATAGATTCTAGGTTTATTTATAAAACCTCTTTGAATTTCCCTTCAGAATACATTTCTAGTACTCAGAAAAGCATATATTTGAACTACTGAAAAGAGACAGTGATTGATAGAGATAGACTCTCTCTCTGTATACACACACACACACACAATTCTCTATATATACATACACACATGTGTATGGGGGAGGATAACACTCTCATTTGATCCAGACTGTTTTTCCCCTTTTAATTATATACAAGTCAAATTTCAGTGCAATCCAGTTTAACATCCAATACATTGAGTTTCAGCTGACAAAAGAGCTATACATTTCTTTTAAAATGAAATTTACTGAGCCATTGCTATTATAGCAACAGTAAACAACTAAAAAGGTTTATCATGGATGTTACCTCATAGCAATAACTCTGTTTTTCAAAATGTGTCATTAATTATTCAATAATCTCATAGAACTTGTTTTTAAATTATGGTTAACTTTAGACTTAGTCATGTGCAGGTATTTTGTCCACATGTATGTCTGCACACACCATGTGTGTGTCTGTAACTGTGACGGCCAGAAGAGGGAGTCAGATTCCCTGAAACGGAAGTTACAGATGATTGCAAGCTGATCCGTGGGTTCTGGGAACCAAACCCAGATCTACTGCGAGAGCAACGGGTGCTCTTGATCCCTGAGGTATCTCTCCAGTTTCTCATATAATTTATTTTAATCAAGTCTGTTGCTTAATCCCTTCTAGATCTATCCCCATTCCTCTACTCCTCAACTCTGTATCTTTAAAAAAGAACCCAACAACTCATCAACTCCATTTTTGCTGCTTATATACTCCTAGATGTAGGGCCATCTACTGAGCTGCGTTCAACATACCAGGAGGCATATCCCTAAAGAAAACTAGGAAGCCATCCGTTGTCCATAGCTCCTGAGTTAGGGGTGGCAGCTCCTCCTCAGTCTGTGCTAGAATGCCGACTGTCTTGATCTTGTGCAAATCTTGGTACAGATATCATGAATTCGCGAGTTCAGTAGTGCCGTCATGTACGGAAGACAGTTTCGATCCTGTCACCCCGATATCTGGCTTTTGTAATCTTTCAGCTCCCCGTTTAGTGATGATCTCTGAGCCTTGGGGAGGAATATATATATATATATATATGATTCAAATATGTATAATATATGTAAAATGAGATATTTGTATCATACATATGAGCACTCCAATGACATTTACTCTTTGTCCTTTGCCTATGGCTCTTTCACCAAGCACAGTCCTATTCTGAAGAACTGAAGCTAGAATTTCAACAGAAATATTGGGGAGGATATAGCTCCATCTGTAAGAGTACCTAAACATCACCTTCCTGCTCTCCGTGACCAGCACACCCAGGCACTCAAGGGATGCTATTTTGTGGCAGAGCTTGTGAGCATTCTTGTCTCGTCTCCTTTCTCACAAAGTCATATCAAAGGGGCTATGGCTACAGCTTAATGAGGAAATAGATGCCGAGCTTCTGTGAGGCTCCTGGGTTTAGTTCTGGACACACACACACATCCCCTTCCCTCAAGGAACACGTTCATAGAATCACTGGGTTTTCTCCAGTATAACCAAATGACAACCATAAAATTATCTTTAAACTATTTTGAATATGTATAATTAGATTATAAAGAAGAGGAAAGCAAGAAAGATTGACTCTCATTGGGTTAGAGAAGCTTTTAAAATCTCTACCATATATGACATGCTCAATGAGTTCTAGTTGATTTTTCTGTGACTCTGAACATGTGGAAGAGGAAAAGGGATTTCTTCAACTGTACCATGAACCAGGGAATTCCCATAGTTTTGATGCAGATATGATATCATGGATGCCATTCGATGCACCCTTCATATTTGGCGATGTACTTTTGTTTTCAATGTGCGAATTTTCTTCTGAGATAAACCCATGCTTGGTAGGCATTTTAGCCAGATTTGTTTATTTATTTTCATCTATCTCTGCATGGGGTATATACATATGCTTGTTTAAATGTGTGTGAACGCTCATGTGTTCAAATGCACATACATCTGTGTGTACATGTGAGACTAGAGGTTTCCCCTGTTGTTCTCCATGTTATCCATTGAGGCAAGGTTTCTCAGATGACCCCCAAGCTAGCCAGCTTGCTCTGAGGATCTCCTACGTCCATCTTCTGAGCTCTGGAATCACAGGTGTGCTGCCCCTCCCACCCAGCATTTACGTGGGTGCTGGGATCTGAACTCTGGTTCTCACGTTTGTGTAGCAAGTACTTGGACATTTCCTTAGTCTCTTTGTTTATTTCACCTTTGTGTCTACAGCTTTATTTCCCATATTTGCAGTCAGAGAGTGAACATTAATTATGAGGATCCTAAACAGAGTGACCAGAGTTCTCTGAATGTGAACTCATAAAGTTCACACAAACCCTGATGTGACTTCATGCTCTTTTCCAAAGTCATATAACTCAATGTTTTCTGTCACTTGTGAAAACACTGTTGTTTAAGTTTTTTTTTGTTAGTCCCAGTGGACAGAGAAGTTTTCTAAACACTGAGAGTTTGGTGTATCTCTTGTTTAATTAAAGTAACATTATGTCTTGGATGTTTATGTTCTCAAGTGGCTTGTCATTAGCTGAGGCTACATGTTCTATCATTATTCATTTCACTAATAAAAACACTGAACACATAAGTATGTTGTGATCCAGATAATGGGTGACCCAAGATGATTACAGTATTAAGCATTATCAGAGAGGCAAACATGGGCATACTCTCGCCTGCGATGTGGGAGACTTTCTGGTGGAGGGAGATAGAAAGCACTTTGGGATGCAGCTGAACAGCCTGTAATTTTGGTGCCTTAAGTGAGCTTCAGCAGGGCAGTAACTTCTTGTTGACTTGAATCCTAACGTAAAGAAACAAGTTTACCAAATAATGGAAAGATATTATAAGCAGAGGGGAACAGTGGCTTTGAAGGCACAAATACACCTGGGAGGGGCAAAATTTACTGTCATTTCTTATAGAGCATTAGTAGGTGTGTCACAAGAAAAGTGATAGTCTAACATGATTTTAAATTGGAAAAAGAAAGAAAACTGTTAATTTAAAGATTTAAAAATGTTCATTTAAAAATATTATATGTGTTGGGGCTTTGCCTGCAGGTTTGTTTGTATATCACATGCATGCCTGGTTCCCTCAGAGGCCAGAAGAAGGCATTGGGTCCCCTGAAACTGAAGTTATAGATAGTGGATGCTGGGACTCAAACCCAGGTCCTCTGGAATTTATTATATACTCATGGAGGGAAACATTTAATTGGGCCTTGCTTACATTTTTGGAGGTTTAGTCGATTATCATCATGGCAGGAAGCATGGAAGGCAAGCAGACAGGCATGGTACTGGAGAGGCAGCTGAGAGTTCTACGTCTGGATCTGCAGGCAGCAGGAAGAAAACGAGACACTGGGCCTGGCTTGAGCATTTGAAACCTCGAAGCCCACTCCCAAATGACACATCTTCTCCAATGAGGCCACACCTATTCTATTAAGATCACACCTCCTAAGAGTGTCACTCCCTGGTGACCAAGCACTCAGATCTATGAGCCTATGGGGGCCATTCTTATTCAAACCACCACAAGCCCACAAACTGTTGTTAACTTTAAAACAAATTTTAATAGCAGTAATTGGGTTGGAGCTATGGTCCCATGGTTAAGACTGCACGCCTTTAGTGCCAACACTCAGGAGGCAGAGGCAGGCAGAGCTCTGTGAGTTTGAGGCCAGCCTGGTCTACAGAGTGAGTTCTAGGACAGCCAGGGATACACAAAGAAATCCTGTCTCAAGACAAAATAAAATAAAATAAAACAAAAAAGAGTGCTTCATGCTGTTACAGAGGATCTAAGTTAGGTTCCCAGCACCCAGGTCAGGTGGCTCACCACTGCCTGCACCTCCAGTTCCTGGGAACCAGACATTCTCCTTTGGTCTCTGCAAACATCTGCATTCCTGGACACGAATATAACCTCCTGTAGACATACATGCATACACATAATAAACACTAGTTACAGTTAAATACATAGTAAAACTACAAGCACTATGTCAAATGTAAAGATGTTGCTTAGGACAATTCTTTTTTTTAAAAAAAATATTTATTTATTTATTAATTATATATACAGTGTTCTGTCTGTCTGCATGCTTGCTGGCCAGATGAAGGCACCAGATCTCATTACAGATGGTTGCTGGGAATTGAACTCAGGACCTCTGGAAGAGCAGTCAGTGCTCTTAACCTCTGAGTCATCTCTCCAGCTCACCAGGGCAATTCTTTGGTATAAATGATATTTGTCTTATAGAAAAGTCTTATGCTGGTAATTATTTTCAGGGAATGAGAGGGTCCCGAGCACCATGAGCGTGGTATTTCAATGACTGACGTATGTGGAATAGTGTTCTAAAAGCACCCTGACCTAGGCAGAGGGGAAGGACCAACCAGGCCTACATAGGAACTTGTTTATAAAGTGTCAGGAGGGTCAGGCATAGTTGGTAAGGATGGGGGCGGGGTCTAGGAGAAAATGCTCTCATTTAAGGATAAGATACAGACGAATGGGTCCAGTATCATATGACGTTAAAGGAAACAAAAGGGGTGTCCAAGTTGGAAAAATTGAGGTTTGATTGATCAAAATCGAAACATTGTTTCATAAAATCAGAATCTGTAAAGAAAAAGAGCAAAATCTCCCCTTCTCCCACCTTCCATCAAATGAGCAAAGCGATCTGATACACCAAGCAAGCTGCCCTCTCTTCTGGGTGTTACCTAGAATGGAAAAACTATAGACAAGTGTCTATCAAGAATGTGCCAACTATGTAGTATATCTCAACCACCCGGACCCCAGGGATGAGGGTACTGGTTCCCAATATCAGCCAAGTAGAGCTTTCAAGTTCTTCTCTCTTCTGTCCTGTAGCTATCTGGAATCCTACCCAGCCGCTTGTGGAGAAGTCAACGCTTCACATGCAGAGAGAAGCCAGCCACTGTCTTCAGCTGTAGTGTTTACTTTTTTTGCAGGCCTCTTCCTTGTCCCATTAGAAGATTCCATCTGTTTGGTGACCTGTCAATCTACTGTGAGGAGATTGCTATGGTTCTTCAGCTTCACATTTTGGTTCCTCTCAGCAAGTGCCATTTTCTGCCATTCTTTCTGGGTGAGGTCCCTAGCTACATCCTTAAATGTAATTCTCTCTCTCTCTCTCTCTCTCTCTCTCTCTCTCTCTCTCTCTCTCTCTCTCTCTTTCCCCTTTTAAACCCAATCTTATCTATTTCTTCCTCAGAAACTGCAGGGCCCTGAGAACAGCTAACTCTCTTTTCTGTCATTTGGAGCCAACATCTTCCTGTCACACAGCTATTGCTGTTCTCTGAAGTCTGAAGGGTCATTCAGATATTGCTCTTTACAAAGTTGTCGTGATTGTTCGGAGGGTCAGCAACTCAGGGCCCACTCTTTCCAGGGACAGTCTAGCTCCTGGGGCAGGTCTCAGATAGGAAAGCTCTATGAGAGGTACCGAGTCTTTGGTTTTATATTCACACGGCAGATCTTCCTTACTCTTATAAAGGTGGGAACTGTGGACTAAGAAAATAGCAGGACAGGCAAGTTCAACGTCAGCAATGCACTTCTTGAAAGAAACTAGTAGCGTAGCGTTCTCACCCCACAAACACTCCTCAGTTACTGCTCTGGACACGCTGGGCTTGCCCAAAGCATATGCAGTTCAAGTTCTGTCATGCATTTTTTCCTTCTAGAGATTGTGTATGGGAAATATTTTAACTTTTTGGTTGGTTTACAAAGGCAGTAATGAATGTTCCATGGGCACAATGTCTACAAGACGTTCAGTGAGAGCTGTTGTCCTCAGCTTCTCCAGTCTGACTGAATTATACAATCATTGTCTTGAGCAAGCATCAACTGTCTTAGTTGTTAATAAAAAACAACTTAGTTTTTTTTTTTTTTATTGCTGTGAATAGACAGCATCGCCATAGCAACTCTTACAAAGAAAACTATTTAACTGGGGTTGGCTTACAGGTTCAGAGGTCTTGTTCATCATTGTCATGGTGGGAAGGTCAGCTGCATGCAGGCAGACATGGCCCTGGAGAAGAAGATGAGACTTTGACATGTGGACTGTCAGGCAGCAGAAAGAAAGCGAGACACTGGGTTGGCTTGAGCTCCTGAAATCTCAAAGCCCATCCTCTGTGATACACTTCTTCCAACAAGGTCACACCTACTCCAACAAGGCCACTTCTCCAATAATGAGTGTGTGGGGTCCTTTTATTCGAACCCACATCAATACTTAGATTACGTGCTCTCCTACTGCCCATTAAAGTTTGTTTTCACTGGGAATAGTTTTTTGCTCCGAGTGGGAATATGAAATCCCATGACCTTTTCTGCTGATCTCTAGTGACAAGACAACGCTCTGGTTCAGTCATAAATACTCGACACATCGAGCTTGCTATGCTTGAGGCTTCTGGATCCTAGCAATCAGGCCTGCTGGGGGAAAGGCTGAGTCTGGGGAAACTTTGCTTTGCTGAAACTCTTTCCATGTATCTTCGTTAGGTGTCTATTGCTGTGATAAAATACCATGGCCAGGATGGGAAGGAAGCTGGGGAGGAAAGAATTTGTTTGACTTGCATGTTCCAGTCTGTCACCAGAGGAAGCCAGGGCAGGAGCTCAAGGCTGGAAGCTGGAGGCATGAACCCAAGTGGAGACCATGGAGGAACACTGATAACTGGCTTGCTTCTCGTGGTTTGTTCAGTTTGTTTTCTTATGCATTCTAGGACCACCTGGACAGGGATGGCCCTGCCTACAGTGGGATGGCCCTCTCATATAAATGTTAATCAAGCAAATGCTTAGGAGACTGACCTACTGGCCAATTGATGGGACATTTTCTATATTGAGGTTCCTTCTTCTCAGATGACTTTGGCTGGTTTGAAGTTGACCAAAACTATTCTGCTGACATATGAAGCTTGTTGACTCCTCCATAAGCACTGGCTATGATTTTATACAACTCCTTAGGTATATAAAGGAGGGAAGGAAAGTAGGAAGTTCTTACCTGAATGATATCATGGCCTAGCACCTTGCCCTCTAGGACCTGGGTGATATTTTCTCAAATGTGTGTTTGATGGAGGAAGGTCATTGGTTAATTATAATAAAGAAACTGCCTAGGCCCATTTGATAGGCCAACCTGTAGGTGGGTGGAGTAAACAGAACAGAATGCTGGGAGAAAGAAAGCTGAGTCAGGAGTCGCCATGATTCTCCCACTCCAAATAGACGCAGGTTAAGATCTTTCCTGGTAGGCCACAACTCATGGGCTACACAGATTATTAGAAATGGGTTAGATTAATATGTAAGAGCTAGCCAATAAGAGGCTGGAACTAACAGCCAGACAGTGTTTAAAAGAATACAGTTTCTGTGTAATTATTTCGGGGCATAAGCTAGCAGGAGGCCGGGGTGCTGGGGATACAGCCCCGCCGCTCCTAATACAACATGTGTTGAATCCAGGTTGTCATTGTTTTCTTTCAGTGTTTGTAGACTGAGACTGTGCTTTCATTTTCTGGCTGCCCAGACCTGAATAATCTCACAAAAACTATATTAATTACAACACTGTTTGGCCAATGGCTTGGCATATTCTTAGCTAGATCTTTTTTTTTTAATATAATTTTTTTATTGAAAAAAAAAAGATTTCTGCCTCCTCCCCGCCTCCCATTTCCCTCCCCGTCTCCCTTTTCCCCCCTCCTCCCTCTCCTCTCCCCCTCCCCCCCACTCCTCTCCCCCTCCCTCTCCAGTCTGAGGGGCAGTCAGGGTTCCTTGCCCTGTGGAAAGTCCAAAGTCCTCCCCGCTAGATCTTATATTTTAAATTAACCCGTTACCATTCCACTGGTACTTCCATCCCATGATGTGTGGGAGGGGAAGCCTATGGGGTTGTGGGATAGTTGGATGTAGGATGTTCTATTAGGTGGATTTACGACTTTGTGACTGTCTTCATGTATAAATTCAACATTGCACAAGAAGATATGTGGACTTGTGGTGGTTCTTGACTGTCAACTGGACAAGGTCTGAAATCATTTAAGAGGCAGGCCTCTGGATGGGTCTATGAGGATGTTTCCAGGAAGGGTTAACTAAGAGGAAAAAATGTTCCCTAGATTGGTAGCACCTTCTGACAGGTAGTGGCTTAGATATGAAGTGGTCTGAGGAAGAGCCTTGCTTCGTGTCTGGCCCCATTACTGTTGCCACCTTCCATTAGCACTGGATGCCAGATTCTTCAGATGTTCAGTATGGACTGAAGCCCAGCTATTCTTTAGGAGTCTTTCAGGCCTTTAGGACCAGATTGTGATAGTTAAGGCATCCAGCCTCATGGGCTAAGTACCTACTAGGTTTTCAGACTCTCCTGTATTCAGACAACCATTGTTGGACTGCCCAACACCTACAGGTATAAACCATTTTAGTACACACACACACACACACACACACACACACACACACACACACACACACATTGTTGGTTCTGTTTGTCTAGAGAGCCCTGCCTATGCAGTAAATGTTGATGTGCTTTAGTTTTTTGTCAATTGACACAGCTAGAGTAGTCTGAGAAGAGGAAATGGTCATTTTCTTGACTAATGATTGATGTGGGAAAGTCCAGCCCACTATGAGTGGTGCCACCTTTTGTACAGGTAGTCCTGTGAGGTCTAAGAAAGCAAGCTGAATACACCATGAAGAACAAGCCACTAAGCAGTATCCAGTTCCTGCCTCCAGGTTCCTGCCCTGGCTTTCCTTGGTGATGGACTGTGAGCTGTAAGATAAAGTAGCCCTTTCCTTTCAGGTGCTTTGGACCGTGAGTTTATGAAAGCAGTAGAAAGTAAAGTAAATAAGGAGCGGTGGCTAACAGTAGAACTATGAAGGGATTGTCTCACTACGAAGAGTTGGTTCTTCAAGAACATCAGCAAAATAGACAAGCCTTTATTCAAACTAACCAAAAGGCAGGGAGAGAATATCCAAATTAACAAAATCAGAAATGAAAAGGGCAACATAACAACAGATGTGAAGAAAATCCAAAGAATCATCAGATCATACTTCAAAAACCTGTATTCTACAAAATTGGAAAACTTAAAGAAAACGGACAACTTTCTGGATAAATATCACTTACCAAAATTAAATCAAGACCAGATAATTGCTAAAGAAATAGAAACAGTCATCAAAAGTCTCCCAACCAAAAGAAGCCCGGGACCAGATGGTTTCAGCTCAGAATTCTACAAGATTTTCAAAGAAGAAATAATACCAATACTCCTCAAATTATTCCACATAATAGAAACAGAAGGAATATTGCCAAACATTTTTTTATGAGACTACAATTACCCTGTTACCCAAACCACATTAAGACATTACTAAGAAAGAGAATTACAGACCAATTTCACTCATGAACATTGATGCAAAAATACTCAATGAAATACTGGCAAATCGAATCCAAGAATACATCAGAAAAATCATCCGCCATGACCAAGTCAGCTTCATCCCAGAGATGGTTCAACATACAAAAATCTGTCAATGTAGTTCACCATATAAACAAACTGAAAAATAAAAACCACATGATCATCCCATTAGATGCTGAAAAAGCCTTCAAAAAATACAATATCCCTTCATGATAAAGGGCTTGAAGAAAGCAGAGATACAAGGAATATACCTAAACGTAATAAAAACAACATACAGCAAGACAACAGCCAACATCAAACTAAATGGAGAGAAACTCCCAGCGATCCTCACTGAAATCAGGAATAAGACAAGGTTGTCCACTCTCTCCATATCTATTCAATATAGTTCTTGAGGTCCTAGGTAGAGCAGTAAGACAACAAAAGGAGATCAAGGAGATACAAACTGGAAAAGAAGAAGTCAAACTCCCACTATTTGCTGATGATATGATAGTTTACATAAGCAACTCCAAAAATTCTACCAAGGAACTTCTACAACTCATAAACACTTTCAGTAATGTAGCAGAATACAAAATTAACTCAAAAAAATCAGTATCCCTCCTTTACACAGATGATAAATGGGCTGAGAAAGAAATCAGAGGAACATCACCCTTCACAATAGCCACAAACAGCATAAAATATCTTGGAGTAACTCTAACGAAACAAGCAAAAGACCTGTATGAGAAGAACTTTAAATCTT